CTTTATAAATAGTGGTTTGGGATTATATCTGACACTTACTATGCAACTGAGTGGTGGAAACCTACGTAAGCAGCATGCGCCGTGCACAACCCGGGGCAAGGACACATTTTCAGATCTAGAGTACTTCGCCTTCACTGAAAAAAGCCTTATAACAATTAAATATGATAAGTTGGTTACACTAGTCTGTTTTTAATGCTATTATAAGCGGCGTGGAGAGGCCTCTCGAGGTAAACACCAGGGGACCTGGCGCAGCTAATGCTAGGACAGAAAAAGCTCTTTCGAAGCTTCTTACTTAAAGGACCAAATTCAGAAGCTCTTCTCTTGAAACTTTAAAATAAAATATCTGTCTCAGGAGTTCCTCAAGGCGAGGATAGTGAAAAACTAAAAATGCGGCTCCGCCGCATTTTCAGTTTTTCGGCAAAGTACTGCCTAGGTGGAGTTGATCCATCGAAAAGGCTCATATAACTCACTCTAAACTCTTTCAAATGCCAGAGTGGCCCTAAAGTATCTATTTAATTCCCTTATGTCTCGCCCAATTGTGGCTTCTTGGATTTACTTGGAGAGGATTCGGAGGGAAAAGCTAACAAAAGAAGAAGCCCCTCAATAGCCTTTTTCTTGCTGTTGCACCGGCGGGCCTGGGGCGCTGTGGGTTTTGCTTATGCATGCGGCACTTAGCCGTAGTTGTCTAAAGACCTTTTAGTTTTGTTTTCAAATATCTGTTGGCTTTCTGAATGCCCATTGAACTTTCAGGCATTTGTTGAGGAGCAGCTGAGCCCGGAGCAGCAGCAGCAGCAGCAGCTGCTGCTGCTGCTGCTGCAGCAGCGCCAGAGCGGTTCGGCTCGGACAGCCGCTGGTTCTAGGAATGGGAGCGTTCAGGCAGCGGCGTTTCTTCAAGGATGCCTCGGAGCCACCTGTAGAATCTTTTTACTCTGCAAATAATGCAAAAAGGGATTTTTTCTGATGAATAATGAATTAAAATGCTATTTTGCTCTTAAAGAGACCAATGTAGGACCAGCAGCTGCCACAAACTTTCCACCCAGTAACTAACTAGGCCACCATTCTGGGGCTATTCACAATCTGCCTCTTTTACTGGCCACTAGCCCAGTCCTTGGCCACTTCTTAAGGGCTTTTTATATGTCGAAAAAGACTGCAGAGGGCACGCAAAGAGCTGCAATTATAGCCGCAGTGAGAGTCACTGAGAGAACTTCGCTGTGGACAAGTGGGAAAGAAAGACAAGTTGCGAGACCCGCACGGAAAGCACTTCCTTCTGGAAAGAAAAAAGTCTTTTTTGAAAAGAAAGAAGTCTTTCTGAAGGAAATAAGTATTTTCTGAAAATACAGAACTCTTTCCCTGAAAGAAAAAGTCTGAGAAGAAAGGAGTCCTTTTCAAAACAAACCTATCTGAATCTGGAGCTCCTTGCATGCATCAAAGCTCTGCTGAGGCCAGAAGGGAAACAGAAAGAACTGAAGCGGCGGGCATTCAACTTCGAGCCGGCTGCAGCGCGGGGGAACAGATAGTGGGAAGACGCGGAAGAATTCAATTGAATCAACTAATGAATTACTCAATTTTAATTTAATTTGCAAAATAACAAACTGATCATGGAGTTTGCTTGCGTGTGGATCGCAGCGTAATGGAGGCAGCGGGGGGTTTCTGCAAAGGCGTTTGGGGGCTCCGGGCTCTTGGCTTCCAGCCCTTAGTCAAAAGGCTTTAGTACAGAGTCACATTCAATTTAAAAGCTGCAGAAAATAGGGGAAGAGCCAGGCCCCTGCTGCTGCTGCTGCTGCTGCAGCTGCGGGGGCTTTCTGCGGAGCCCCTGGGGAGGCAGCGAGAGGTGCTGCTGAGAGGCAAAAGCAAAAGGATAAAGGAAAATTGGACCTCAAAGCAGCAGAGAACTTAGGGGAAAAGAATAAAACAGACTTGTGCTGCTTCTTGCCTGGCTTCGAGCATTTTCGTCCCCTCGGCGTTTCCTGTGCATGCAGAAGCACTGGAGTGGAGGCAGCCTTGACTGTATCTGCCCACGCACACTTTTGCAGCTGCTTTCTTGTGTTTACGGGATTTATATTTAGAAACTGTTTTTGTAATAGACACTGAGGAGAGTGCAGGTGCTGATGCTGCAGCAAAGACGGATGATTCTCAAGGCAGCAGCAGATAAGCTCTGGACCCATCAGATCTCTAAACGCTGATGGACTTGCCGGAATTTTGCCGGCAGAGCCTCTGTTTCAGTGTCTTTTAACGACTTCTACCAGTACACCATACTGCTTTACTGCTACTGCAGCTACAAACTCGGTGTTTTTGAGGATAGTTTTGGCAGTAGACCCTGAGGAAACAGCAGGTGCTGCTGCTGCAACAAAGACAGACGATCCTGAAGGTTACAGCAGATAGGCTCTCCACCCAAAGACTAGCAGTATAAGACTCTTTCTATTGTTGCTGAATAGTGCAGCAGTGTGACTGCAGAATGGTCTGTCTGGTGGCTCTGGCGCTGTAGTTGAATGGCGCCTGTGCTCCATTCGAGCTGAAGGAAAGGATGTCTTTGCGGCTTCCTTAATTTTAAAAATCCACTAAAAAAGCCATTTTAAGGGATTTTTTCAATGAGGGAGAGGGAACACAAGCTTAAAGGGCAGAGGTCAAGAAAAGCACTGTCCCACATGATGGCTCGCAGCGGCCGCGCAGCCATAGGGTGGAGTATAAACAAGAAAGAAACCTTAAATTAAACAAGCAACAAATATTTTAATGCATCTTTTGGGCGTTTTGAAGCTGCTTTCACTTTCCGGAGGTTCGTTACAAGCGACGACAATCGGAACGGAGCATGTGAGCGCCTGCAGCCGCAGCTCCGTTAGCCTTTTCAGTATATGAGCTTATTGGAGTTACCTAAGCCAAAAACACTTTATAATTATCTTCAGTAAACTTAATTTGGGCCAAATTTGCCTTTTGGGGTCATGAATCTTGCGTGAGACTCTCAGTGATTGCTGCTAGTAGTTCCAGCAGTCGTCGGCGCCGCCAAGAGAAGGTGAACTTGAGTGGGCGCCATCCTTGCGCCTTTTCCCATGAAATTTTCCCGATTTTGGGTCTAATTTTGAATTTAGTTTTTAAACTCCGCCTAATTCCGCGGCCTGCTGATGCTGGCCTTGGGTCCTGCGGCGGCGACGCGACAGGTGGCCGGGGCGTCGTGCAGTGCAGTCCCGAGTCGGGCTTTGCTTCCATTTCGAGTGTCTCTGCTGGTTTTTTTGCGTTTTTAAGCCTCAGAAGGCGTTTTTAGTGTTGAATTGTGCCGCGGCGGAGGATGAACGTGGGCATGCGCATTTTCGGAGCTCAATTTGGCATTTATTCGCTGAAAAACTACATTCCCATAATGGCCGCAGTGGTGGTGGCCGCAGTGGTGGGGGAAATCGCCCACAGCGCGCGGCTGAAGAGGCGGCAGCTCGAGCAGGCGCAGCGGCTGGCCCGCATGCGGCGGCTGGTGCGGCGGCAGCGCCGCAAGAGAGATTTGGCTCTAATGGAGGCCCAGAAGCAGCAAAGAAAGGCCATAGAAAGCAAGTGGGCAGCTTCCCCCGTCTACGCCTACCTGGAGGCCCCAGAAACTTTCGAATCTTGGCAGCTTTCCGGGCCCCGGAGGGGCCCCCAGGGCCCCCGCCCCAGGCTCCGGGGGCCCCCCGAATACCGCAAACAGCCCAGCCAGGGGGCCCCCTCAGAGGCGGAGGAGCAGCTCTCTGAGGGGTTCCAGCCGCCGCCCAACGAGCAGCAGCAGCAGCAGAAGCAGCAGCAGCAAAAGCAGCAAAAGCAGCAGCAGCAGGAGCACAGCCAAGAGGAGGATGGTGAACCAGCAGCAGAACTGCAGCAGCAACAAGAAGCAGCAAAAACTGAACAGCCCAGCGAAACCCACCAAAACAACTTCCCGAGTTCAAGCGAACGAACAAGTGAAGTAGACTAAAGCAGCACCTGCAGCAGCAGCAGCAGCAGTAGCAGCAGCACCAGCACCAGCAGCAGCAGCAGTTCTAATGGCCGGCCAAGTGTAGATACACCGCGCGGAATAGAGTCAGAAGAACAGTCAGGTGAAGTTGAGAAACAAAACTAACAGCAGAAAGAAAGACAAATGAAATTAAAACTTCAAGATGAAGTTTGCGGAGATTCAAACAACTGAGAAGTTGAATGAGAAGTGATGGCTGCTGCGTCAAATAGAGAAGCAGCAAATAAAATTGTTTTCTCTTTTAATAAAAATCAATTTTTTAAATAAATTAAATTTAAAAAAAGAAGCAGCAGCAAACAAGAAATTCATCTCATGCCTGCAGCCAAAAGCTGCAGGCGGATGGCCTCGCGTTCTGCTTCCAGCTGCAAGCTGCGTATTTGTTTTCCTTCGTTTGCTGAATCATTTAATTTAATTTAATTTGATTTAATTTATGTTATTTGTTTTATTTCATTTTACTTCATTATTTTGAACTGTTATCCTTTTCTATGAGTAAAGAGAGCCCAGTGCTCGTCAAGCAGCCACGTGCGCTGTTGCTGCTGGCTGCGTTGCTGCGAGCGCCATACTGCTCCTGCACTTTGCTGCAACAGCAGCAGCAGCAGCAGCAGCAGCTGCTGCTGCTGCTCGAAGGTGCAGCAGCTCGGGTGCACTTTCACTCGACGAACTGCCTGAGGTTAAGGGGCCCTGTGCAGCTTTAGTTGAAACGAAAGCAGCTTCGTTTGCGTCTGCTTGCTGCCTCACCTTCTACTGCTGGAGGCGGTGCTGCTGCTGCTGCTGCTGCTGCTGCTGCGCTAGTCTCCGTCTGCATGCATTTGAAAATTTGTTGACGATTAAAAGCTGGAGGGACTAAGGAGCTGCGCAGGGCGTCACCAGTGGCTTTGCTGGGTGACCAGTGGTTACCTCCGAAGGGCTCGGCGGCAGCTGCAGCAGCCGCAGGGCAGCAAAGCGAGGCTTCTGTGTTCCGTTTTGCTGCAGCTGCAGCGCCGAAGAGTCTCAGGGGTTTCTGGCGTTTAAAAGGACTTGTTAGTTCTCACGAAGCTCATTTCTGCTGCTGCTGTTGCTGCTGCTGCTGCTCCACGTGCTGCAGCAAACAAATTGAACCTGCTGCAGCAAAAGCCCTGCGGCTCGTCCTACCTTCCTTGGGAACCCAAATGGGAGAGCCTTGAGCAGCCCAAGTCGAAGAGATCTTTTGCCTCTGTCTTTCCTCCTCAGCCATTTCGCCTGCAGCTCTTTTTGCATTTCAGCAGCTCTTTTGCAGCACTTGGGGCTCACCCTCTAGCGCAGCCACCTGCGAGTTTGCAAATTAAAAAGAAAAAAAGAAAAGATGCATGCAAGAAACTCCACGCCGCTGGCTTACTTGAGCCTTTATTTCGTGCCGCAGATCTATCAACAAACTATTCAGCTGCGATTTGCTGAAACGCAAACTCCGCGCCGGCTGCACCTTCAAAGCAATGTTCGGAGGAGAGCTCATCAGGTTCGCTAGGTAAGTTGCGTATTGCTGGCTCCCAGCAGCAGCCTGCTGCTGCTGCTGCTGCTGCTCTTTTGCAGCTTCACGCAGCGCTAGTCTGGCGCTTTCAGCCGCGCTATTTGAAGCTCCAGGCCCTAAAAAGCCGAAGACAGAGGCTAAGACGAACCATTTGAACATTGTTTTCCCCAGATCGCGTCAAAAAGTCTCACAGGTAGAAACACTGTGACAAAAGGAAGCACTGTTCAACGGAGCTGAGCATACACCTGAGACCTGGCTTCTCTTGCGAGCCAAGTTCGCTCGCGCTTTCCACACGGCGCTGGAGGCGGAGCCTCCCCATCCCTTAAGACTAAGAAGGTACTATAAAAGGCAAATAAATAGCTGGCAAAACAACAAACTAATTTATTCTGCTCAGCAAGCATCTCGTTTGAATTCAGTGGCGGGCGCTTCCTACAAAAGCTCCGCAGCGGATGAAGCGGTTGCGTAAGAGAAGGGTTGCGAGATCCCAGCAGCCTTCAGGGCCTCACGCGAAGGTGGTGAGTTCCAAGTATCCAAAACAAACTATTAAAAAAAAATATTTCAATATTCCACTTGTTTACCGTGCGGATACCCTGCGCAACCCGCACTGGGCCGACAGTCCATCACTGAACCACTCTCCCTTCCCTCCGAACAACTTGCACTGTTTCTGGGGAGATCCTCGACATGTGCAGTTCCGGACAATTGTAAAGGTAATTTTGAATCAGAGAAGGTCTTTTTAAAAAGAAAATTAGCCAGAAGGCGTTGCTGCTGCTGCGAATTCTCCGTGCAGCGCTCACTGGAACGCGGACTGGTCTCTGTGGTTGTGGGGGGGTTGGGGCTTGGGGCAGGCGCTTGCTGGTGGGGCCTGTGTGTACGATCGCTCGCGAGAAGGCTTTTAGATTTAATTTGGCGTTTTTTGTTTCTCTAGCTGCTTAAAAGATTGCAACTTTCGAGCAGCAAGACGGGACTGCAGCGGGGGGCCCTCTGTACGGGGTTTCTGCTGCCTCTTCCTCGCCCCGAGTCCCCGCCCCGCGGCACTTGTGCACTTCCCTGTCTTTTTCTTCCTTGGCTCTCCTCCACCCCCCCAGCTTTTGTTTTTGAGCCCCAAATGTGCATCTTGGGGGCCCCCCAGTACCGCTTCTGCTGCTGCGCACCAAATCTGGGGGCCCCCCGAAATCGATGCCTCGCTAGCCGCGCGCCTGCAGCGCCTGGGGGCCCCCCTGCTGCCTCAGTGGCCTCTTAGGCGCATCTGGAGCTTCTTGGAGAGGCATCCGGCCTTCAGGCGGGCTCGCTGGCCTGCTGCTGCGGTGCTGCAGCGCTGCTGCTGCGCTGCTGCAGCGCTGCTGCTGCGCTGCAGCACGGGCGGCCCGCCGCGCCGTTTCTATGCCCCGCGTCTGCCGCGGTCCCCAGGCTCTGTAGAATGGTGGGGCTGGCTGCTGTGCTGGAGCAGAAGCCGCAGCAGCAGCAGCAGCAGCCTGGGGTAGCGGCTCCGGGGGCTCTGCATGCGGCGGAGGGCCTCGGCGTCTCTGCTGCTGCTGCTGCTGCTGCAACCCCGCTAGCTGCTGCTGCGGCAGCAGAGGCGCGGAGCCGCAGAGCCGCGGAAGCCCTCCCGCCCGCCCGCAGGCGCACCCTCCGGCTGCTGCAGCAGCAGCTGCTGCTGCAGCTGGCAGCAAGCAGCAAAGGCACAGACATTGACCCCCGCCGCCGCCCCCCCCACGCTGCTACTCCAGAGAGCATTCTAGCCCGCTGGCTGGCAGCAGATCCCAGGCGTTTGCGCAGCGGGTTGCAGAGTTTGGGGCTGCATGCAGCAGCGGCTGCTGCAGCAGCGGGCAGTGCTGCAGCAGCAGGCAGTGCTGCGGCCGCAGGCGGCGCTGCAGCAGCACTTCGGGCGCAGCGGCTGGGTCCGCTTGCTGCTGCTGCGCCCCCCAACAGGGGAAAGGGCGTCGCGTCTCCTGAGGAGGAGGCGGCGGCCTCTAAAGGGAACTCAGCAGCAGCAGCAGCAGCAGCAGCAGC